TATCATATATTAAATTCAGTAAAAAAAACACATTTTAGTGTAAAGTAACTTTATCTAGATACGTATGCTTAGTGTTTTTTTTTGGCAAAAGTTACGCATGGCTAACTTTATAATTAGACTGTCAAAAAAAATTATAATTAGAAATACACATGTGTCAAATACTTTGAGCCCGTTTGGTAGCACCAAAATCGGTTGCTTTGGCTGATTCTGCTGAAATTTATGATATTCTGGCTGGAGTGGCTGTTTTGGCTGATTCTGCTGATTTAAGAAAAAATATTTTAAAAATATATTTTATTAATAAATTAAAGAAAAAATTATATGTAAAATAGCTAAAATGGTCCTCTACAGTAACTTCAGCCAATACAGCCAGAAAAGTAACTCCAACCTTACTTTTTCGGCTTATTACACAATTCAGCGCGCGAAAGTAAAAGTTACGTGTTTGGTGAAAAAGCTGGCTGATAAGCCTGATAAGCCGAAAACAGAGTTTTCCAAATGGGCTCTTTGTACTCCCGTCTATTTTATCTATTCAAATACTCCACCTTTTCCTCCTATTTTTTCTCTCCTACGATTTCTTTTTTTTGCAACATTCTCTCCTACGATTTCTAAATTAATGTTATAATAGTTAAATTTTGTTTTCGGGGGTGTTTGGTTAATGGCCTATCAGCCATTTTTTGGCTGATTTGACCAATATTGGCCTTTTGACTTGATCAATCAGCTAATATGTGTGTTTGGTAAAATAGCTTTTTAAGTTGGCCTTTTATCCCAAACAGCCAAAATAAAAAACGCCAATAAACCTAGCGTTTAGGTATCGGCGTTTCGATTTCCGTCATAATATTCCTACGATACCCTTGTTCCGTTTCTTTCTCGCGGCTTCTGATCTTACTCGCAGAGTCGTACTTGCAGGCTTCACTCCTCTGAGAGCTGCGATTTCCCTTCCTCCAAGGTATGTCCAATCTCTTTCAAATATGAGAACATACTCTGTAGGTTTCACTCGCAGCCATCTCTTGAACTTCTGTAAAGTGTTTATACATAATACACGCATAAAGAATGAAGATGATACAGAGCTTTAATTTGAGAAGACAATTTTAATTTCTTGTTCTGTAATTCTTTTTCCAAACTGATTAATAATTTCAGTTGTTTATATATGGGCCGTAAACTTTCTTGTTGATACAGAGCTCTGAAAAGATACTTTTAATTTTGATTTCTTGTTAGATACAAAGCCCTGTTCTTGAACACACCCTAAATGCCCGTAAATTTTCTGAAAACATGAGATTTGAGCCTGAAATTAAGTTTAAAAATCTTCACTTTTTTGTGTATTACGGGTTTAGATAATAATTACGGAGTATTAAAAAGCTTATGGATGATAAATTAACAATATATGCTCCAGTATGTTTATATTGATTGCATATTTAGAGCAGACTTAATTTCTGAAATTTGTTGTGTAAAAGTTTGTTATTAGTTGCTCTTATTTTGAATCTAGTAATGCTGCTATGAATCTTTAAGTGGAGCTTGTTTTCTTAGGGTATGTTTTGATCATGGATAACAGCTCCACAGAAAGTTAGACCTCATGGAAAGTTAGTTGAGTTTGGTTTCACTATCATTGAATTCAGTATCAAAACATTGACTGAAAGTGAACTTTTTTTCTTTCATTGATAACATTGAATTGATAACTTTTTTTTCCTTTGATTGATAACATTGAATTCAGTATCATTGATAACATTGAAACGTGGCATCAAACTTGCTGAATTCAAACATGTTCGTAACATTGAAAACATGTTACCTTCAGTTTCATTGGTTTGTTCTGATCATTTTTCTTATGCCAATGAAAGTTAGTTGAGTTTCGTTTGACCTCACGGAAGGTAAAGGATACTGAAATATGACTAATGTTTTATAACATTTTAAATTTGTGTATATAACATTTTATTAAAACTGGAATGTAAATAGCTTGCTGATAAAACTATCTGTGAAACCCGAAAAGCCTACTTTAGAAGGACTGCCTCTTTGCCCCTTTGAATGTAATGTTATGTCATGTTGTTAATCAACTATTCATGCATAAGACTATTATGAATTGTGATGCTAGAATACCGGTTTATCATCAAACGGATTGCCACTCCTTTGAAAGTGTGGTGTCCTTTTCTATTTTGCTGCTTTATTATATTTTTTTACATGAAAAAACAGTATTCTAGGATTTCTAGCTTCTCCCTGCGCACATCGGTTATTTTGACAACTACTTAGGAGCATCATGCTATTTTGGTCCTAAAATAAGTGCAAATGGTGCAGCTGTTATTGTTGTTTTAGAATGTATAATAATATAGTAGTACATAGCTGGTAGATAATTATATACTACTTCGTATATGCAATTGATCTGTGAAAGGAATTAATCAATGAACAGGGTATGAGAAAAGCTTCAGATCACTTTTATAGTTATATTAGGAAGTATAATGCAAATTGTAGCTCAAATAAGTGTAAACGTCATAAAAGGTTAAGATATGGTTCTTTAAAAAAGACTATTAGGATATGGTTCTTGGGAGAAATAGTGAACTAAGAGTAATACTCGGGATAGTACTAAATGTGGTTAAAGTTTTACTAAAGTAAAATAATTATTAAAGCAAGGAATGTTATTAAATTAGTTTGGTAACACATAGTATAATGTACTACGTAGTAAATAGTGATATTAGTTTTTTGCTTATTTTCTATAAATATTTCATAAATTAATTTAGTACTATGTTATTTAGATGGATCTCGCTCGAAAAAAATTTCTAAATGATAGTCAAGGAAGTCGAAATAAGAACGCCGAAAGTCAACAAAGTGCAACTATAGGTAGAGTTAGTTGGACAAAAGAGTTAGTACACCTCCTCTGTGACCTCTGCATGCAAAATGTTGAAAGGAATAAGGGAAAAAGTGGTGGAGTAACTGGTCAAAGGTTGGCATGGAAGAAAGTACAAGCTGAATTTGTCAAACATACAAACCTTCATTGGGATAAAGATAAACTTAAGCATAAGGTGGATTGGATGAGACATAGGTGGGGTCTTTGGAAACTATTGAAAGGAAAGGAGACGGGATTGGGGTGGGATCCTATAAAAGGAACCATTGATGCCTCTGATGAGTGGTGGAATTTCAAGATTAAGGTTAGTTTTTTTTGTTGTTTAATTTGTTTTAGTACATGTTTTAATTTTAAGTACTTAGAAGTTATTTTAAGCTTTAATTTTGTATAGGAGAATTCCGCATTAAAGCCATTTCGCGAAGAAGGGATTGAACCTGAACTTGAATCTAAGATGGATCAAATGTTTGGTTTTTATGCCCAAGGTGCATGAAAATACACTCCGGTGTGTGATCTCACAGAAGAGGATATGCAAATTGAAGATGATAATGTGTATGTTCCTTCACCACCTCGTAGTGGTACTCCACGCAATCAGCTTGACGACATAGATGCTTCATATGGTGGTAGTAGTTCTAATACTCGTGAAGCATGGGATGATGTATGGAGAGACGATAGCCCCCCTCCTTTCTCTCCTATTGGTACACAAATGGAAACCGATGAAAGAAGGAGCAATAAGAGAGTTGCAGTGAGTGATGCACCACAATCTAATAAGAGTGCACGGGTTGAAACCACAAAGAGAGCAGGTAAAACTAAATCATTGAGTGACAAACTTGATAACATGATGCAGCTCATTGGAGAAAGGAACAATACATCTAAGGGAGTGCATATGTCAATGATGAACGTCATGGACTCAATGGTCACACCAAAACATGGAGAAATTATTGAAGCACTAGCAAAGTTATGTGCTTTGCCGGATTTAGATCCAAGCACACCTGAATTTTATTTTGCTTGCACGATGATTGAGGATCCACAAAAAAGATGCATTCTCCTAGGGTTACCAAATGACCAGATGAGAGTTGAGTACATCAAGTTTGTATATGCTGAGCAGAAGAAGAATTAAAAAGACATCACTATGTTAGCATTACAATTTTTATCTCTTTTAAACTCAATTATGAACTTATGTTATGGATTGTCATATTTCCGAAACTTTATTAATCTAGAAACTTCTTTATGAGCTTATATGCTATGGATTTCAATACTTCAACAACTGTATTAATTTATTATATATGATTGTCATGTTTTGATTTAATGCATTGACATTATGATTCTGCTATGTTATTAAAATTCCGTGTAACAATACTTTTTAATTATTATTGGCTTACAGTATTAGTACTTGTATTTTTGTAGGCATGGATGATACCTATATAATTTTTCGGAAACTTATCCTAATTAAAGAGTATTTGGATGACGATGATGAATTTTGGGATTTGGTAGCTTGTACAACCAGCTATATGTATGTGTACTTTATGAATCACATATACAAAGAGCGTTGTATGACATCATACTTAACCGGCCAACGATGGATGGATGAACTATTGTATGGTCATGAAAAACGGTGTTTTAATGCATTCAGAATGAATCCGAGTACGTTCCGTCAATTATGTGCAGATTTGGAAACAAAGTATGGATTAGTCGCTTCAAGTAGGATGTCAACTTTGGAGAAACTTGGCTTGTTTGTGTATGTTCTGAGTAAGGGTTCTTCTAATCGAGATACTCAAGAACGTTTTCAACATTCGGGTGAAACTGTGAGTAGAATTTTCAAAGAGGTATTGAATGTCATGGTAGCATTTTCAAGGGACATGCTTAAACCTAAAGACCCTGAGTTCAAAGAGGTTCCAGCACAAATTGTCAATGATACTAGATATATGCCACATTTTAAGGTAACTTGATACTTTGGTTATTCCATTTAGTTCATTAAACTACTGCTATAATATTTTTATGGTATTTTAATATTAGGATTGCATTGGAGCAATTGATGGAACTCATATTGCAATAACGGTTAGAGAGGAAGATCAAATGCGTTATAGAGGGAGGAAAGGGATACCAACCACAAATGTCTTGGCAGCATGTGATTTTAATTTATTATTCACATATGTTTTGACTGGATGGGAGGGGACAACACACGATGCTCGCATTTTCCTCGATGCAATCAATAATCCAAGTCTAAATTTTCCGAAACCACCACCAGGTAGTTGATTTTATTTATACTAAGCGCATGGCAAATAAATATTGTAACATATTATTTTTATGTACATATAGGTAAATATTATTTAGTTGATAAAGGTTTCCCAGAAAGACAAGGGTATCTCACACCTTACTTCAAGACAAGATATCATCAAACAGAATTTCGTGCTGCAAATCCAAGGGGATCTCGAGAAGTGTTTAATCGAGCGCATTCATCTCTAAGAAGTTGCATTGAGAGGGCTTTCGGAGTTCTTAAGGCGCGGTGGAGAATTTTACAAAAAATGCCCATATATTCATTATGTGACCAGAATAAGATAATTTGTTGTTGTTTTGCACTGCATAACTACATTCGGAAATGCACGATTGGGGATCCAGGTTTTAATATCATTGATCGAGATCCAGATTTCATACCAGATGATATCTTTCGAGACGTTGAGTCTACTTCTGGACAAGGCGTTGAGCATATGAGAGTCCGTGAAATGACAGTTATTCGATCGTGATAATATTGCAACTAGTTTGATGGCAAGGAAAAGACGTTCTTAGAGAATAGTATGATTTTTTAAAGATATATTATCATTACGATTAAGTGATTGTTAGTATTTTAATTAAGGTGACATTAATATTGAAATGCATTTTTTACTTTTGTTAGACAACTTTTTTTAATGTATTTTTACTTAGTAACTCCCTTTTCTTGTCAAGATATCATTTAAATTTATTAATACATGAACAATTGTTTAAAAGAATTATTAATTGTCTTCTTAAGTTTTTATTTTTGAATTCATAAAATTGATTTAAGTATTGATACCAATAACATCATTAGCGTATGATAAGTGCATATATAAAAGCATATTATAAATATGTGTGTGTATGTATGTATATATATATGTATATATATATATGTATATATATATATATGTATATATATATATATATATAAGTGTACAGTTAAAATAATTAATTGATGTCCTTAAAGGTCATTTCACAAGTTATCAGCTGATTGTAAACAACCATTTTAACCAAACACCATTTAACAAACTAATAATACTATCAGCTAATCAAAACAGCCAACAGAAACAGCTATTGTAAAACAGCTGACACAATCAGCCAATGGCCAACAGCCAACATCCAATTGCCAAACACCCCCGAATGTTTACACTTTTCACGATATGGTTAAATATATCCCTCCACCTTTTTCTCCTATTTTTTCTCTCTAACGGTTTCTAAATTAATTATAATTAAATGTTTTAATTAAATTGTGTTAACCAATAAGAGTAAGACATATCAGCAATTTATAACTGAGCTTTACTATATAAAACAATAGATTTGTCAAAAATTTGAAGTAATAAACTAAAAATTGTAAACAAAAAGTGAAATAGTTTAATTAGTTCTTCCTTACCTCGAGGGAACTGGAGTTTGTTCGTCTGGAGAAGCAATTCAGCGGTCAAAGGAACGAAGTTGCGCAGGGAGAGCGGCGGAGCGGAGGAGAGGCGGCGTCCGCCGTCCGGCGAATAGGCGATGCTGTCGATGCGAGTGGACGGAGTGGTATGCTACACTGCGCTTCTTTCCTTCAGCGCTGCACCGGAAGATTAATTTGCATTGGGCCATACACTGGGCCAGTATTTTCTTTGCTCTGGGCCATTTCTAATTTTTTTTATAAGAATTCATATATAATACAAAAAGAAAAAAAAAACTGCCATGGGCCATGGCCCAGGCAGGCCACCCCCTCCCTCCGCCCCTGGACTTGACCTACAATTTCTTCCTCACCAATATTTTTATTGTCCCTATGAGTATAAAAGTTCTCATTCTCCTCTCCAATGTTTGCATTATTATTCTCATTCTCACAAACAACATTTGTATTGTCATTATCAACAATATTTGAGGAAGAAAGAAATTGTCTTTACATACCAATCCATAGAACTCACAAACTATGGTGTAACCAAATCGCTCCTCAACTTATCCTTTCCCTTTGTACACTTTGAATCAAATTTTCACTTTCTCGTCATGCTAAAGATGTCTTGATGAAAATATTCATAAATAATTAACAAACAAAGTAACAAAAATAAAAAAACAAATCAATTAATTTACTACTTTACTACTACTAATACCATCAAAATAATAAATTGAAATAAAAAAGAAAGACAATAAATTAAATAATTCAACTCCATATACTACTATTATACTAATAGCCAATTATTCTTATCTTTTAGTCAATCTCCAATCTGGCAATCTGCCACAGGCCTGTGGTGCCATATCAACTATTCTGGTTGATAGTTCATTTATGCCCTACAATCGTTTATCTTTAGACTAAAATTTTAGACTTCAGGCATTTTGAAAATTGAAGACTCAGGTATCAGAGATTCAGAGAGAATTAAAGAAAGACTCACAGGTCGACACTCCGCCGGGCAGATTTCTGGAAAGTGGAAACTCAGGCATCAGGGCATGAGGGAGCCAGGCACCGTCGCACCGAGTCGTCACACAACAGTAAAGCACGGCGCAGGTAACCGTGTTCAGACCCGATTTCAAAATTTCTTCAATTCTTCGCCCAATAGCCTTCTTCCGCAGTTCGATACTTCCGAGTCCGTCGTATGCTTGGAGCAGAACAGATGGGTCGTCAATCAAGAGTCTCCTCAATTAATTAATTACGGATTACATAATTAACCAATTATTACTAATTTATTATACATAATAGTAATAGTAATAGATTTTTAATTTTTTTAGGCCCTCTTGGAAAGTGAGGCCCAAGGCAATTGCCTGGGCCAACTCCCCCTATGGATGCCTCTGATGATCGACCTAGTTGTTATTGTATAAAAAAGTATTTTACTATAGTTATTGTACGAGCAATGTGTTCGATACAAAAAGCTCACATTTTTCCAAACATTATCAATTTTAATTGTCAAGATGAATTTATTATTTTCCTAAAAAATAATCTATTCATTCTCAAACCCTGCAATTACCATGGACTTTTAATATTAAAATCTTTTGGATTACCATGGAATCATATTGTGTAATTTACACATGGTCAATTACCATTTGTTTTCACATTTGGACTCTAATTACATTCCATCAAAACAGTTTTATTGACTTTAATTTGGTCGGCCTATAAAATCATCAATTTATCTATGATGCCCAAAGGTCAATTCCAATGGTCATAATTATCTATGAAATAAAATGTTACTAAAGAATGCATATTATCAAGTCGAACTAAGTCGACCGTCTCTATTCTTGTTCGAATAGAGACTAAATTATTTCCCAAATATATACCTAATATTTTTACACATGTTTTTACTTAAATTAAACATTTAAACTCTGAAAGCTTAATATTTTTACACATTTCATTTTGTGGACAAAACTTCCTTAAGACGACCTATATATTTTTGTTCCTGTTCGACCAACATATATAATCCACTTTGGGGAAAGTTTGGTTGATTCTCAGTAGGAAATTTAAAACCCAACGGTCTCACATCTTCCTCAACGAATTACCTCTATTAGGGTCTTCTTGTATATTACGATCATAAGTAGTTAATGTTTTATAAAAATATATTGATGCCCAAATGTCACATATAATCAACCACGGTCAATTCCAATGGTCATATTTATCTATGAAATAAAATGTTACAAAAGAATGCAGATTGTCAAGTCGACCTATGATCTAAAAAAGCTTGATAGATATTTACAAATTGTTAGACCCTAGATTTTGATGAACTGTTTTGATGATGCCAAAAGCTTTTGTTATCCCCCCTCTATTGTAGCATCATTATAGGAGTCTTTGTTATCCTCTGTTGTAGCATCTTGCAGTTGTCTAGTACTAAGAAAATTATCTAGATGTGTCGTGCTCCTTTTTTATATAGTTAACAAATAAATATGACTGGAAAACCATAAAATGCAATAAGGCAATATTGTATTGCCTTAAAAGGATATCGTATAAATCCAACCAGTTAAATTTATTTGTTACACACAATAACATCTCGTACAAATGAACTATCTATTTTAACTGGAAAACAAAATGCAATAAGGTAATTTTACCTTAATAGGAGTTGATATCCTACCAGTTAAATATTTAGCTTATCATGTTCGAAATACTAGATAACCCATACACTCAGAAGAAGAGTTCTTGATATTCTGTTCACTACAACAAATAACAATGTAAATTCTATATAACAAATAGAACACACTGGGATTCAAAATGAAATAAGGTAAAGTTGTCTTTATCTTAAAATTGGATATTTAAATCCAACCAGTAAAGTGTTATTTGATATATAGATAAATCAAAGTGAACAAGAATATTGGTTAACTAACTGGAAAACAAAATGCAATAAGGTAATGATTTTTACCTTAAAAAGAATTTGATATCCTACCAGTTAAGTTAACAAGGTACCTGCTTAAAAGTGACAAGAATTCCAATGTACAAACTATGTATCAGATTAAACATACTGGAACCATAAAATGCAATAAGGTAAAAATTATTTACCTTACATGGATATTTAGATCCAACCAGTATAGCTTTAATTTGGTACATAAGTTTAATCATGTCACTTAAAGAAAGAAAGTGATTAGTAAAATAAGTGACAAATTTTACTGTGAAATTTGTACCAAATAAATTGTACTCGAAAGAACAAAATGCAATAAGGTAATCTTATTACCTTAATAGGATATTTCAAAGATCCTACCAGTACAAAATTTATTTGATACAAAATATTCTAAGTCACACATTTTACTACTTCACTACTTGAGCAGGTTCACGCACTCAGCTTCACAAGTGTAGTTGCAAGACAAGGCAAATACACTCAGAATGCAAGAGCAGAGAAGACATCAGAATAGGTGAAAAGTGAAGAGTTTCAGAATAGGCATGCAGCGATAAGAAGGCCTAAGGTATGGGTGTTATCTTCGTACAAAGCAAGTGGTCTTCAAAGACAAATCCTTATCCTGCTCCAACACAAGAAGACGCAAGTACAATACTTTGGACGTCTAGGATTAAATCCTCTTAACCAACGGAGGAGATTAATCTACTGGAGATGCCTATAAAAATAGGCAGAAACATGAGATCAAAAGCAAGTCATTGAGTTCAAAGCAAGTGGTTCAGTCATTACACTACGAATATCCAGCAAAAGAAAAAGTGCTTGAACACTCTGCTTTGATTCATGCTTCACTAAGCTCTTAGACTAGGTCATTCATTGTAACATTTATAGAGCTTAGGTTTTAGTTGGCGGTTAGAAACTTCGTGAACCAATTCATGTTGTTGTAAACACTTAGGAGAACAGTTGTTCGGATCCTATAGTGTGGTTAGATAGATAGAGTACCTTTTGACCCCCACTGGATCAATTGAGAAAAGTCGTAAGGTTTGAGTAACTTGGAGTG